AGAAAGAAAAAGACGGCGCTGTCTTTTTGCTCCTTCCCTGTCCTGTATTTTTTCTGGTGTTGCGCTGTAAGTAAATTCACGATGGATCCTAACCAACTGGCCCAACTTACCATCTTACTCCGACACTCAAATATAAGGCAATCACTGGTATAAACTTATGCAATAAAACAAGAACAATGAAGCTGAAAGTACCGTCATTAGACAACACTGCAGTCTGGCTTTTTAAGGAAATGAATATTGGTTCATTGATTAACACTGTATCATAACATCAGTCTTTACGCAGGAATGAAGAATTTCAGTCTTTGAGGTAAAGCGACAGCGTACGAGAAACAGTTTTGATTATGACTGTTTTGCTTACTTCCGGCAGCGGTTCGGCGAAAACACTATCATGGTCCCGAGAATCCACAGTTGCGTTGTAAAAATGAAAAAAAAAATGCCAGTGACTCGATGTACGGAGTGACAGCAGAGTACACGCAGAAGCGATTGGGTGCAATGCGTCCATGGTAGAATTCATTCGCGAAAAGCAAAAGAAGCATTACAAATGGCAGCAGTCCAGTTCACCAAGGCAGTCTACTTGTAAGTGTTTCTTGATGATATTGCCCACACAATTTCTATTTATGCTTGCCGCACAGGAAAAAAAAATGCTCCAGGACATTGTCCCTCGCAGAAACAGATTTAAGAGCATGTGCTTGCCACGGACTACACCTAAAAGAAAGCAGGCGTGATAGAAGAACAAACACATGACACTTGCTTTTTGCGATATCCCGAAGCTTTTGTGCTATGTAAAGGAACACTATTACACGCGTGCGCGTTTTGTGTATGTTTTCAAAAATGGCGGTATCTGTTTATAATCATTAGCCAAATGGCAGTATAGGGTGAAACTTTCTTATAAAGAACAGGCTTCAGTGGAAATATTTTTAAAAGCAGCCAGGTATAGAAACATCCCTAATTCCAGCAGTATTTCTGGATGTCCCAAATATGTTACGCGGAACCAATATAGCCAGAAAATGTCGCTATATAGGAGCGCACTTGGTCATATGAAATTCTGTTTGCGTGATTACTTGAGTTTTTGCAAATTATGTGTGGTGTGGAGGCATTTCGGTATTGAAAAACTTGGACTCTTTGCGTAAGTGTGTGCTATGTGTACCTATGTATAGCCTTGTGTTTGTTGGCTAACATGCGATGCTGACTTCTGTGCAAGTAAAGAAGAGTAGCTGGCGCCACACATTGGCACCTACCTCTCCCTACACAGATTTATTAAAAAAAAACCGGCCCACAAAAAATAGAAAGAGCAACAGTTCACTCATTTTCAGTGCATTCAGTGGTCGCCATGAATTTTTCTCCGTAGATACGAGAACATACACCTTCTACCATTGGGACGTGGCAATAATAAATATCAATATCGCATGTTACCGTAACTGATCAATATTTCGTAAGTTGGGCCTAGTTTGAGCAATCGCACTTGACACTGTTCTTCGAGCAAGAATAGAGGTCTCCTAACATGCTCAAAAACTTTTTTTTGTGTAGCAACACTGCGCTTGAGAGAATCGCCTCGTCATTCGCCAAACATCCATCATCACCGAATGCGATGATTAAGTGCATAAACCTCTCTCGGCCGACTTCGGGATATAAGGCACTCGTTGTGTTTTTTTCCTGAACGATAATACCAATCTGTTAAGACTGTAGAACGTGCATAATTTTCTCTTTCTTGCTTCTTCGCACAGGTAAACACCAGAAATGCAAAACAGGTGTTGGGTGCACAACCATCTACCTTCCGTAAGTTCGATGACTAGCTTTATGAACGTTTCGGCGTCAGTAAAGAAAACAATAAAGGGAAAAGCACCTGCAATGGTGCAAGGTTGGACGCCGGTGGTAGTGTCAGAAGTTGACGCATCAAGGGCACTCTTGAAAACGGGTGGCTCGGAACGTTGTGAACGTCGAACGTTGTTGTCGGGCTACGCCTATATAGCGAGTATACCGGTACCTACTTTTACCCTAGCACTATTTTCAAGTATGACACAAAATTTTCTCTTTCTACGGTGGAGGCAAGAACAACAGACCAATTTTTGAAGCGCGGTATAGAGACAAAGCGCGCCTTCTCGCCAGGCTTTGTGAACAATGGCTTCATTAGATGCTGGTCTGTGGCTGCATGAAACGTCACCTGCACACGATTCATCCTGATGAGCGCTGCACGGCTGGTTGCTTCTTGTGAGCTGCCATGCACAGCTGCTTCCTTCTCTCATATAAGGTGCCAACCCGCCGCAGCGCCGTGCTATCGAGCACATCCCACAGCACGGCGAGGGTCTCTTTCTAAATGACACTGGTGTATTTCTGCTTGCAAAAGGGTCACCGAAATTTTTCGCTGCTGAGGGGATTCTGAAAATTATTTTCGTAGACATTACAAGGTAGAACGACAAAAGAATAATCATGAGACGTCACCTCACACAATGAATGGTTCCTTCCGTCATAAAAGCCGCAATACTAAATACTCGCTCTCTGGTGGTGCATGTTACACTGCATGTTACACTGCAAATGTGTCGACGAAAAATTCTGCCTGAAAACGATGGAGTAGACGCTGAAGCTGCAAGAGACTTAAACAGTGCTCCAGACGTGCCCATTGCGTTTTGACGGCCAGACACAAACGTCCTGTTTCGGCGCGTAATGCACAACTTCACCCTTGAGCATTGGGCCAAACCCGAGTTTCACCACCAGCAATTAACCAGTCGGGCACGGAAATGAGGTGTTGTATGTCTTTCAAAGTTAAGCGACAAAACTCAGAGATGATTCACCAGATTCGTCTTGGTATGGCTTTCCTATGGAAGATCAACTACTTTTTGCACGATATTTTATATTTTATCGGACAAAAAACGAAACAGACTTGGACAGGTGCAAACTTCCAACGAAATTTATAAGCTATATATATATATATATATATATATATATATATATATATATATATATATATATATATTATATATATATATATATATATATATATATATATATATATATATCTATATATATATATATATATATATATATATATATATATATATATATATAAATAAGGAAGTTACAGAACTAAAAGTACAATCACACACACAGGTGCGCAGTGTGCTAAGTGGCTAGGCGCTACTAATTAGTCTCCCAGATGTAGTGGCCCTTACAAGAAGGCGATTTTCTTATTTGTCAACAATACTGAAATCATGCTCACGCAATTGCTATCAATAAGTTCTATGTGGAATGGCTCCACAAACTCGCACGAGCGCTGATTCGCGTCATGGAAAGCAGCAGTGGCAGCAGTGCGCCGCTATTACAATGGTTTTGTACAGTGCGCACCTGAGCCATTGGTCTTGGTGAATTTTGTCACACACACAATCACACAGATATATATATATATATATATATATATATATATTCCAGTAATATCCTCCGTGAGCGGTCGCAACGTGGTTTATTTCGACGTTTCGGTCTAGAATCTAGCCTTCAACAGGATATATATATATATATATATATATATATATATATAAGTGACAGAAGTGTATACCTAAGGGCTCGTTTTTCCGTGTTTTAACACAATAGTAATGAGATCTAACAGACAGTAATGCCAAGGAATGTACAGGGAAAGTTATTAGAACCAATGGAATGTAAATAAGAAGAAAGAAAAGTGGATGAAAAAATAGCCAGCCGTGAGCAGGAATCGAACCAACGGCCTTCGAATAACGCGTTCGATGCTCTAACCACTGAGCTACCACAGCGGCTTTGCCTCCATCCACTTTTTGGGGTTTATATGTGAATTTAGAAGTAGGAGTGTCAGTCAGCGCCATCTATAAGCCAAGCGACGAGTGTGAAAACACTCTTTTAGGCGCATGTTTGGCGTCACGTTGCACGTGAACATATTATGAGCGGGCAGCTGATTAATAGTCCCTCGTATACAACCTAACGACACCAAGTCTGCCAGTACGAGACCCTCGTTTAATGAAAATAAGGGAAAGAAGTGTATACCTAAGGGCTCGTTTTTCCGTGTTTTAACACAATAACAATGAGATCTAACAGACAGTAATGCCAAGGAATGTACAGGGGAAGTTACTGGAACCAAGGGAATGTAAGTAAGAAGACAGAAAAGTGGATGAAAAAATAACTAGCCGTGAACAGGAATCGAACCTACGACCTTCGAATAACGCGTTCGATGCTCTAACCACTGAGCTACCACAGCGTCCTTCCCTCCATCCACTTTTTTGGGTATATATGTGAATTTAGAAGTAGGAGTGACCGTCAGCGCCATCTATAAGCCAAGCGACGAGTGTGAAAACACTCCTTTATGCGCATGTTTGGCGTCACGTAGCACGTGAACTTATTATGAGTGGGCAGCTGATTAATAGTCTTTCGTATACAACCTAATGACACGAAGTCTGCCAGAACAAGACCCTCGTTTAATGAAAATAAGGGAAAGAAGTGTATACTTAAGGGCTCGTTTTTCCGTGTTTTAACACAATATTAATGAGATCTCGGTCCCTACGTGGGAGACGCCCACTACGCGCTAAGCGCGTCCTGCAGGACTGAAATAAAGTTTTTTCCTTCTATTTCATAACAGACAGTAATGCCAAGGAATGTACAGGGGAAGTTATTAGAACCAATGGAATGTAAATAAGAAGAAAGAAAAGTGGATGAAAAAATAACCAGCCGTGAGTAGGAATCGAACCTACGACCTTCGAATAACGCATTCGATGCTCTAATCACTGAGCTACCACAGCGGCCTTCCCTCCATCCACTTTTTTGGGTTTATATGTGAATTTAGAAGTAGGAGTGACATATATATATATATTTATATATCTTTGCGCCTGTGCGTGTCTCTGTTTCGTTTCGTATATTTTGTGCAAGAAATTGTTGCGCAAGTAGCAGTTGATCATGAAGTATTGACTACTAGAATAGCTCGAACACATCAGGACTTCCCAAACTTCTGACTAACATCCCAAATCTGCATCACACACTCTGTGCAGATGACCTCATCCTGTGGGGCACAAGAGGTAGTGATGGCCAAATAGAAGAAACTCTACAAACAGCAATCGACATCGTGGGCAGCTATCTCTCTACGGTAGGCCTGTCCTGCTCGGTGACCAAATCGGAATACATTGTTATCAGATCACAGGGACGCAAATACAAACAGCTCTCTTTCAATCTCCAAGAGCAGGGGTTGAAAATTCCCCAAAGAGATCACATCCACATCTTAAGATTGCACCTACAGGCCAATGGTGGCAACTCTACCACTCTTCAGCGAATCGACGAATTTGCCAACCAAATTGGTCGCCTTCTCAAGCGCGTTGCCAACAAGCATGCAGGCATGCGCGAATCCAACCTTCTTCGTCTGGGCCAGGCATTCGTCTGCACACGCATCACCTACGTGACTCCCTACCTCCGCCTTACGCACACTGATCTCGATCGCCTCGATATTTCGCTTCACTTCGCAAGGCATACAGGACCACCTTAGAACTCCCAATTTTCACTTCTACCTCCAAACTTACGGCCTTTGGGGTGTCGAACATGGTCAATGAGCTTATAGAAGCATACCCTTACGGTCCAGTATCAGCGGCTCTCACTCACGCATGCGGGACGTGCTGTACTGCACCAAATTGGACTCATCCCCACGCGGGCGGCCACGACTTACCAAGATGTACCGACAGATCAACGACTCAGTCTTCGTATTCATCCGATCCCCAAGCACATGCACCCTGAACATCATGCGGATCGTAGGGCTGACCTAGCGCGCCAACTACAGAAACGTCTCTCAAATCGTTCCGATGTCACGTACACAGACGCCTCTCGACACCCACATCGATCAACAATGGTGGCTGTCACCCTGGCCCCACATCGTGGGTGGAGCACGGCATGTAGTGTAATTCACTCCACATATATAACAGTTGCCCAAGAGGTTCCCATTGCTTTGGCAATGACCGACCCAATAACCAAGGTGATCGTAAGTGATTCTCTACTCGCCATCCGAAATTTCGACGTGGGTCGTATCTCTGCACAGGCATACTCAATCATAAAGCATCACACCACGCCTGTCTCACCTCGTTTTCTTATCTGGGCCCCAGCTCATGAATTCCTTAGTAGAAATGCGCAGGCACACACTCTCGCCCGAGATCTCAACGGCCGGGCGGAGTTCCTTACAACTTACACTTCTCATTCATCGTCCTCCCAGGCCTGCGAAGAATTAACTCCTTTGGTAACTTACACAGACATTCTACAGCACTACCGACTAGGCAGTCTCTGCTATACTCCAGCTCATAAAGACCTCCCTCGACGTGATGCCGTCCAGTGGCGCAAGCTTCAGACAGGTGTCTTTTCCAACCCCTGGCTTTATGGCAAGGTATACGCACACCTCGTGACACCACACTGTAAATACTGCTCACAATCGGCCAACCTCATACACATGGCATGGACGTGCCCACAGTACGCTGACGCTTTTTACGCAGAAGATACATGGGAGTCCCTTCTGCATATCACTGACTCGGCACAGCAACGCCTGGTAATCTCATGCGCATTGGAGACCGCAATGTCCCAAGGGATCCCCGCTGACCTCCTCTAAGCAGCGTAACCGATCTCTCCACCGGTCCCATTTTTTGGGAGTAATAAAGTTTTGATCGTCATCATCATCGAAACTATACCTTGTTTTCCAAAACGTTACGCGCATGCAATTGACTGCAGCGACACCAGTCTCATTTGTGGTCAGTGTGAAGTGCCAGAAACACTTGAGCCGATATCTGGTATAGTTGCCCAGCATACGCCCGTGAACGACAGAAGCTGATTTGATCTACTGAATGTTTTTGTAACAGGCCATTAACTGACGAAGTTATGTTGGGCTGTTCACAGAGGAGGGGGCTATAGAGCCAACAATCAGCAAGGTGCAAATAAGCTCCACTCCCCCTATGTCTGTCAGATTTAGGTTCCTTGCGAAATGGCAGTGTCTTTGTTGGTAGATGACCGAGGGCGTATCGAAAATTTCTGCAAAAAATGATCCGCGTTTACACCATGCCACTGACAGCTAGCAGATTGCAAGAATGGTTTTGATAAATGAAAGAGTGCTTAGGTGGTATTTCAATATCTTTTTTACTTTGTTTCAGAATATGTATATAAGCTTAGTATTGTTTTAGAAAATATCAAATTTACAAAAAATCGCCTGATTCATCCCATAGTTTTTGTCTTCGAGCTAGATTACTTTGAGCGTGAGATAGTAATAATATTATCTGAAGTCTTACGTTCCGAGACTGCGATATGATTATGAGAGACGTCGTAGTAGAGGGCTCCGCAAATTTAGACCATCTGGTATACATTAACATGCACTGACATGGCCGAGTACACGGGCCTCTACCAGTTTGCCTCCATTGTAATGCGACCGCCACGGCCGGGATTGAACCCACGACCTTTGGGTCAGCAGCCAGGCACCCTAACCGCCCCTACACGTGTCATATAACACTTGAGCAGAAATACTAACACTAAAAATTTGGCCCGAATCTGCACGTTACACTGCAAATGTCGTCGAAAGACGATAGTCTTGCGCCTGGAGAGAGTGAACAAAAGGTTTATTTGATGTTCTGAGCAAGAAAACCGCTGAGTGGTATTCTGGAGGCACTGCAATAGAGTTCCTCGAGCGTGTAGTGGAGGCAAACGAGCGCATCGAGGCACTTCAGACACGAGCGCCATCTGGCAGTTATCTTCGAAAACGAAGGCGTGCGCGCCCACGGACAAAGATGCGCGCCAGTCTCAAAGGTGATAAGGTGTAGCACGCAAAGCGACGGGCAGGTGCCACCACCTTGTCGTCGTAGCAAAGCGTTGGAAACACTTACCTTTTTGAGCATCACGTTGCACTGTCAGCGCAGCGCGATTAAACGCTACATTCCTTAGAGTTACTTGTGTGTGCCTCTTCTAGTATAAAGGCAGACATAGAAAACATCGAAGCGTTCTTGTGGCACCTCAGATATGCGCAATAATTGCTTTTTAATTGACAATCGCACAACTATGAACGCTGAACCTTGAGCAATATTGGTGGGCGCTACGGATGGGGTTGGCCGTTTGATGCCGTTTGAGGTATCGTTAGGATGGACAAACAGACAAATGTACAGGCAGACAGACAGACCGAAATTTTTTCGTCGAAGGTCCCCAAGAAAAACTATCGCCTTTAAAACTGATATCGCCTGTTCACAATCTACTACTAAACCGAAGTTCGTTGAAGTTAAAATTCCTTTACTGTGGCATATAATGCAATCGAAAGATTGTAGCTGATGTATCCGCATACACATCAACTTGGGGAGTAACCTGAAGGTAATCAGTGGATTTCGTTTTAAATGTGTTAACATTTCTATGCGAATTTAACAAGAAAACTTTAAGTCCGTTCGTAAATTTAGAGAAATAGTTATATTACAAGGGAATGTATAAAAGAAAATCAAATTTCTTGCCTACGCCGAGTTTCGGAACTGCAGGTGAGCACTTTAGCTACTGGGCCAAAGAGCCATGCTTGCGGAATGTCTTGCTTCAAAATGTCAATGTATTTGTACTAATGAATGCGTTACACTGGTAGTACCGAAAAAAAGATGAGAACGCTCTTTATAAGGCTTCGCTGAAATATTACATTGTCGTAGAAAGAAGCTGACTCTAGGACAAAATTGTGAAGCCTATGGGAAGGATTGTGCGCATCATGTTAATTCTGACTTAGTGACAATTTAATGCCAATCACTCTTTTCCATGGTCGCGGGAGGCTTCTTGCTAATCCAGACAATAATTAATGCTATAAACACTGAAGACACCGGGCCGATGCCTTGCCACAATGATGTTACAGGGAAAGTTGCAACCATAGAATTGCGATATTTTCTTTAAGCGCTACCATCAAACTTTACATTGATGCACCGCTTATGCCATAGATTCTGCTAAAAAAAATTTTCTACTTGAACAAGACGCCCTTTTGTGCACTGAAGCACAAAAGCAACAGACACAGTCATATCCCTATTTCGTGACCGTTATTGCGAATGGATGTTTCGATGGTGTCATTCTGAAAACTCGCTCAGAACGGATACGGGTACAAGTATATAGAAGCCTATATGTATACAGTAAGCACAGGAAATATTTCAAAATGAAGTAAATATTGTTGAGTAACAGGCTCGACGTGTGGATCTCTCGTGCATGTATTGCTACCGAGCTCAATGACTATATGAGAGTAAGGGCATGATCAATTTGAAAGGGAAAAAAAGCTAGCTCAGCTTGCAATGAGTCACTCAAGGCTGTGCTTTACAGCGGAGCTGGTGTGCACCTAACTGGTCCTGGCGTGCCTATAGCTTTCACCCTCTCACCTGTCTCTTTCCCACCGCTTGCTGTACTAAACTTTAAATGGCCATGGATTTTCTCTTTTCTATTTTTCGCCTTTGTTTTTTAACCTATTTCCCTGGTTTCTCAGTCTTTCTATCTTTTCTGCTTGTCTTTCCTTCATCTCTATTTTTCTGTTGCTCTTTTTTTATTATGCATTCGTACTCTGGCGTTCCATCTTTGTCTCTCTGTTTTCGCTTTCTTTCTATTTCTCTCCTTGCCCCGCTGCAGTGGTCTAGTGGCTAAGGTACTCGGCTGCTGACCCGCAGGTCGCGGGATCGGATCCCGGCTGCGGTGGCTGCATTTCTGATGGAGGCGGAAATGTTGTAGGCTCGTGTGCTCAGATTTGGGCGCACGTTAAAGAACCCCAGGTGGTCCATATTTGCGGAGCCCTCCACTACGGCATCTCTCATAATCATACTGTGGTTTTGGGACGTTAAACCACACAAATCAATCAAATCTATTTCTCTCCCTGTCTTTCGTTCTTCCTTTCTCTACCTTTACTTCTCTTTCCGACACCTTTGCGTCACTATAATGTATTGTTATGCTCTGCTAGCATGCCTGGATACAGAGTGGTATGACGCTCGCCTGGGTACACGGATTCGAATCTTGCCAAGAAAAAAAAAATTGGCCAAGAATTTCTCGCTTCCTCTATCTCTCCCTGTCTCTCTGTAACTGTTATCTCGCCTATCGGAGTTATCGTATCTCACACCGGACTAATCAGTGCACGCGTTATAGTAGAGAAGCAGAAAGAAGACACTGAAAGTGCGTGTGAGTTCATGCTGATAACTTTCTACTACAAGCGGCTGACCTCGAGTGTAACAGCCCAACCCGCCGAGGTGGTCTAGTGATCATAGTCATCAACCTCTGACGAGAATGTCACGGTATCAAATCCGGGATGTGGTGGCCGTATTTTTGATAGAAACAAATATGCTTGGGACTAATGATTTATATTTTGATGCGCGTTGAAGAACCCCTGGTGGTCGAAATTTCCGGAGCCCTCCACAACGGCGCATCTGATGACCATGTCATGGCTGTGTGACGTTAGATCCAAACAATAAACAACACTAGTATTAAGCATAACGGCTCAGCGGTAAGACTAATTTCAAGGCTACGTAAGCATCGCGTTTATATGTGAAACGCTACAGAGTGCGTTCAAAGCCCTGTTCACACCACCTTCTCATTGGGTTGGCACGCTTCGCCTATTAGTGGGCGCCTCCGCCATGCCCCCAGGAAAAGAACACTTGTACGTGTTACATTAGCCACTGTAAACTCTGCTAGGGGTACTATACTGCCATTACAGAATCGAAGAACCCTGTGAGCATCTGTAGGAAATACATGTATGTCCTGCATGTCTCGTGTTATCTAATGGGACTCAATGACTGATATGTGAGGTTTAACATCGCAAAACCACCATATGATCATGACAGACGCCATAGTGGAGGGCTCCGGAAATTTCCACCTCCTGGTGTTCCTTCACGGGCACCCAAATCTGAGCACATCGGCCTACAACATTTCCGCCTCCATCGAAAAGGCAGCCTCCGCAGCCGGGATTCGATCCCGCGACCTGCGGGTCAGCAGCCGAGTATCTTAGCCATTACACCACCACGGCGGGGCTAATGGGACTCATGTCACCGTTGCATGGTACAGATTACGCCTATGAATTATGTTCATTGCGCATGCCCACTAGTTAAGGTTGAGGTGTGGGTGAAGCGCATTGAGAACAGGCAATGGGGTGTGGCGATGTCTCATATACGGCTATGGCAAAACTGGCAATGTGATGAGGTTGAATGAAGGGTACCTTATATAGTTAATGAATAGCTGAAAATATATAAAGCACGCATCTGTATTTTGTGTCGCTGTCGTTTGCACATACTGAACGTCTTCAAGTTTTCAAAGAAGCCTTTAGAAACTGTAACTGAAAAGCTACGTTTGCAGTTTTTTTTTTCAGATTTTGCGTGTTTCCGACTGCGCAAGCAGAGATAATATCATGTAGCCGACAGGACCAAAATCTCGACAGACACAAAGCTTAGTGCTGACGTTGTACACGAAATTTTAAGGAGAAACTATTGAGGAGAAATCTTCACCTGCAGGAAGGATAGCGAAGGCTAGAAGGAAAACACTCTCTCGTCTTTGATCGTGAGTTGGTGAGGGGCCCTTTAAAGGCGTAGCGGAGCTAATGGATTCCAAGCTGGTTTTGCCCGTACGAAGGGATGCCCTGTTATAGAATGCGACGCGAAGGAATGT